GCAGGGGGAGGGGGGCGGGAGGGGGGCGGGAGGGGGAGGGGAGGGAGATGTGTGAGGTTTTGTTGGACCTTGCACATGAGGGGAGGGGGTGGGGTGGAAGATGAGTGAGTTTTAACAAAAATGCCCATGAGGAGGGGTGGGGTATAAAATGAGTGGATCTTGCCTATGGATTGGGGGGGGGGCGAGGAGGTAGGGTGGAAGATGTGTGAGATTTTGTTTGATCTTGCCCATGTTTGTGAAAGTACATTATCACACTACTGGTTCTGGTTACCCATCCTTTCTCTTATCTGCAAGTTACATTGACTCCGATCAACCGAACACTTTCAGTGTAATAGGCAAGTGTGAATGGAAGTAGGGGTGTGGTAATGATGGTGATGGTGATGGTGGTGGTGGTGGTGGTGGTGGTGAATGTAATGATAGCATATGAATAAAAAGAGATGAGATATAGCATCTTGTTAACTCTACCTCCATATGTTCTTCACATTATTCATTGCAATGTTTATACTTAAGTACATCTAGCTGTGCTTAGCAGAATGTAAATTGGTATGAAGAATAAAGAGGGTGTGTCCATTGAAAGGGGGGGGGGGGGTAATTCATGATGCGACATCCTCTCTCTCTCTCTCTCTCTCTCTCTCTCTCTCTCTCTGTATCTCCCCAGGCTCTTTATCCCTTTATCTCCTATGCTATTCTATCTCTTTCTCTTTCTGTCTCTTTCTCTTCTCACCATCTCTTTTTCTTATAATTTCCTTCTCTATTGTCTCATTTCTAACTTTCCCCCTCTCCCTCTCCCCCTCCCTCTCTCTATCCTTCTCTCTTCTCAATGAGGTGCATTGGCGTCACTGGTCATGCTGTTTTGCCTACCGGCCTTGATCAAAATGATGCATTCATTCGGAACACTGCCCACCCCTCTTACGCATGCTACCCAAACATTCCATCAAATATCAACCAATATCGCCTCCATTTCCAAGCTCAACATATCCCACTTTCGTTTCATGTTGGGCACGGTTCAGCAATACTCTCAATTACGTGCGCAGTATAGTAGCTCTTCGGTATTATCATGGACTTTCTAGATAGAGATCCATGGTTATATGCAGAGACAGCATGCATGCTACCTTTGTAGTATACAAAGAACGTACAGTAGCTGTCTTGTAACTCTTACTTCTCTGTAAAGATGTAATTATGAATTGTTTAGTGGCCTTAAATTTGGCATATTGATTGAAGTTTTTTCTTCTTAAAAGATCAACATTGTGGATTAAGGGATACCATAAGTGATAGATTGGGTTGCCCAAGTTTGATACCTGCCCGTACAGCACTGATATCCTTTGAGAGGTAGTAATATAGATTTGATGCTCTTCACCCAGGGGATAATGCAACTTGGTGGGAATTTAAAACCCCTGTGTGAGCACAGTATATATAGGCCTACTAAGAGTCATGCTCTCCTCAGAAGGGGAGATGGTACACATTGTGTATATAAAAATGCTTGTTACAAATCCAATAAGGGCCAATGAAGGGAGGGGGTGGTAATGATTACTGTCAAATATATTGATCAATAACCAGTAGGAAAAGGAATATAGAAATACTAATTAAATTATTGTCCTTTAAAAAAAAATTAAGAGAAACTTTGACAACTTCACTTAATTAACCCTTTAGCAACTAAACCGCCCGTTCGTTTCTGTCCGTTTTCAATGCGCTGTAGTATCCGTTCTATCCGGCCTACGGTGATAATGTTATATGTGCGTAATCCTTACGATGTCTAAAGTAGAATTCTGCATAAAAAAATAACGTATGTTTCACATTGTTTAGAACAATTAAAATGGTGATATTAATGCTTATCTTCCAGTGAGTAATAGGCCATTTTTACAAAATTTCAAGTTGCTAATGGGCTAATTTGATCAGGTTTAATTCTAGTCATGTATTTTGCTGACCTTCAGTAAGTGGTCTGGAGCTGAATCGCGCGTATTGTGATGTACTTCACATGTACATATATGGAAAGCAAATTGCAATAACATTTTGCTGTACAGAATAGGAGATGTCTCAACATTCTGAAGAATGAAGCATACCTTTCACATCAATTAGGAAGCAAAATGTAATTTATATTAAACAAGATCAACTCTTGTTTCGGAAGGTCATATGTCTTCTTGCTGAAAGAATCCACCTTATGCATAGTTTCATTGTTAACCCTTTGACTATTGAATTCTCTAATCACCATAGGTGTAATACAGGGAACATCCTTTTCCAGTTGGCAACAGGTTAAGTCTCTCAGGACAGGATGGTCATGTATGTATCATTACAGAACATTAAGTTGAACCTCTTATGGAAAAGCTTGAATAATTTATAAGATCCATTCTTTATTTTAGAATACCTGTATCCCAGGCTTTCATGTAAACACTCCTCCAACATGTACTCTATTGATTATGTGGTATTGATTTGTTTTAAAAGTGGGGGGCATGAACAGGAATGTACCTCAGTGGGGGTCGTACACAGGAGATAAAGGGAGGGCTAGAAGTGGAAGGGGAGAAACAAAGGAGAAAGTGAGGAGTGGGGGTAAAGTTGAAATAACAGGGTGGTATATGTAGGGGGGATAGGGAGTAAATATTATAATGCACAATATTTTTTTCTTCAGTGCAGTCTAAGATGTCTTTCTTTCTTGTGAGAAACAATTTCTAATGTTAACCGATGGCTTAAAGAAATATGCTGAGCATATCTCACTCTTCTCAATATCATATTTTTTCTTCCTCTCTCTAGTACATAACCTAAAGACATATTGGTGATATATGTGCTATAAAAATAATGGTGTATTATTATTATTATTTTAAAGATAGTATAGTTCCCAATATACTGGTACCTAATTGTATCTCAATCTAAGGTTAAATGAGAAATAGTGCAAACTTTTTTGTGCAAACTAAATTTTGAACTGAGAATTCAGACAGTATATCGGTTTCTTGGTGCTCTACCAGTTAAGGAGAGTACTTGATTAATGTCTTCCTCCTCGTCTCAGCTCATTGGACGTTTGTTTATGTAGCACCCTGAAAATATACACTTTGGAATTTGTGAGATACTCATTGCGATTTATACATATGTTTGAGATGGTGACAAGTGAAAGTTGATTGGTTAATGCCAGAAGGGCATAAAGTCTGTGTAAAAGTATATGATTTAATGCCCTTCTAACTCTCAGTAGACCAAGTGTTTAAAAATAACCAAGCTCTAAGCAAAAAGGTGGTATATATTTCTCAGTAAAGCACATGTATTTGAGGTACCTCTCTCAACAGAATAGATTTATAGATCCCAACTTTTAGCACCAGGTCAAACAAAATGGATCACCCCCTTTGTCAATGTAAACTCACTGAAGCTATATGCTACCACAAACCGTCGGGACAATACTGCAGCAAGGCGCATCGTCTCATTAATTATGCATTGGTCGTTGAATAGACATGCCGCGCAAAGGCAGGAGCCCTATTAAGGAGGAGAAGAAAGGGAGGGATGGGTGTTGGAGATGGTGAAAAGAACAAGGCCTTTTCTAGTTGTTTGTCTAGATGAAAATTAATGCCCTATACCAGTGGATGTTTGTGAGTGAAGGTCATGAGAGGAATTAATTAGCTCCGTGCAAAGTAGATACATTCAATATCCGGTGAGGAGAATTCAAATAAAATTACCTGTAAGTTCATTCTATTCACCCATTTGATGAGTAGTTCTGATGCAATTAATGCAAGGGGGTGGTTTTAAAAGTACACACTAATGCCACATGCATCTAGTATATGAAAATAGGCCATATACATATATATATTATAAAAAAGTAAGATAGCGATAGAACTATCGATATTGTGGGTTGGATAAAATGCCAATTTATAGAGGGTTAATATGTATTATGTCATGTTAATTGAATGTAGCATGCACAAACATTTGGCATAGTTTAATATTGCTATGCCATTAATAGGCTATTGTTATTTTCTACTACATCATTTGTGTGGGGGCAGAAAGGATGAACACCCTTCTATGAAGCTTAGAGTGTGTATTTTAATCAGCATCATAATATTTCTGGTTTTATATTATCTGACATAAACATACACCCATGCATTAATATACGCATATGTCAGTTTGCAAAACCAGCAACGATTATTGAGTAGAGTACATCCAATATAAGTATGATAGATAGGCAAAGTCCAAGGTCTAGTTTGTATTGCACTGTACATGCGTCTCATCCTGACACATCTTGTATGTTATACACATGAAACTGTTGTTTACACAGTTGCTATGGCAACTAATTAAATGACATAATCAAGTGGATGATGAATTATAGAATAGTCTCTCAATTTTGCCCTTTCTCTTTTTCATCCCACCCCCTCTCCTCTTTCCATTCTCTCTCTCTTAGTATTTTGATATTTGATGATAATGCTTTGTTCGTATATCATTAGAGTAATGCATTTATTGAGAGTATATATGAGTAATGGCATCAAATCAGAGGTTTGTACAGTCAGATATCAAATGTGGCAGACATCTAAGGAAAGCTTTGCACAGCAGACCTTAGCTAAGCCTATTATGTTTTCACCATTTGATGGCAAAACATGCTCTTTTTGATAAATTGCTTAATGTAATCAAGTTAAAACATTCACAATTTTAGTTCCAATATTGTCATAATGTGTTACTTTACCTTTGTATACATGTACCTGTACTGTCTGATTCAATGAGGATAATCTTTAATATTAGTCCACTATGTGAGAGTATTGTGATGCATTTTCAATTAAAGTATAAAGTGTTCAAAATTTCACTTTGGTTATAATTTAGCGATGTGTCCACAGTATGTGGTCATACGTATGGATACAGTATGAAAACAGTATATTCACATTCACATTTCAAAATTCTTTCTATGCATCTGTAGTAAATATGACCCAATTTTGATTATTATTATTTAAGGTAGTAAAAAAACATAAGTTCTTGAAAAGGTCCATGAATTCCAGTGCACATTCTTAATTCCATGTTTCGCTCTATTTTTTGCAGATCGTTGCAGGATGACATCTCCAAGGCGGAAAACACTGTCAAGGTCATCAGCGAGGAGAACAAGGTCAAGAATGTCCAACAGAACGGCGCAGTCTGCCAAATCTGTCACAAAACTAAGTTTGCTGATGGGGTGGGCCACTCCTGCAACTACTGCAATCTTAAGTCATGTGCCAGGTGCGGTGGGCGTGTCACGTTAAGATCCAATAAGGTATGTCTCTCAACCCCCCCTCCCCCATTTCCAGTAGACATGTGGGATTTGTAAGTACGATCTTGAGAGAAGAAATGCTCAATTTTAAATGATAAGCTCATCAATGAAAGATGATATTACAGCATTAAAATTGAATATCAAGAAAGAAATTAGTATAAAAAACAAATAAGGATTCAACACTAATATAGAGCTTTATTGTGCTCCATTCCCACGGGAGGGTGAAAATGAATTTCTTCAACTTCTTTTTCTATTTTTGGGAGAATGCATGAAATTTTGTACACATGGCTGGACAAAGCAGCTTTATTTAGTTTTACATGCATTGCACTGGATCAAATTTTCATTGAGTTTTTCTTTCATTTCAAATTCATTACGAAATAACTGCTTTTGTGGTCGATATATGGCAGTATCCATTTGCTTCATATATAGTGGCACATTTATTTTATTGATTTATGTACATCCTCATGCTCTGCTTGAAAATGGAACAGCAATACGCTTGTTTATGTTCACATCATATCAAATATGACCATAGTGAAACAACCGCACTCACTTCAATCACTGAGTACAGCCATTGTGATATTTTCATTTATCAAAAGAACATTTAATTTTATCGCATTTACTTTGATTATAAATATATGAATATTGAAGATTTTATTTTCTGACCCTAGGTTGTATTTTCGTAACTCAAAACTCTCTGAATTTAACTTGCATGTATTTAAGCTTTTCAAATCAAACTGAATACATGTTATCAATATATCAAGCAGTTTGAGATACTTTCTATGATTATTCAAGACCTGCTTATTTTATGCCATTTATATATTGTTTTATAATGACAATGATGTTTTAATGAAATATTACTCAGCCTCTAAAGTTTGTTGTATAATATATTTTAAAATGTCAAAATGGTGCATTCGCTATAAAGTTTGAAGCATGTTTTACAACAATGTAACTCATTTTGTATCTACATGTACATGTTTGTGTCTATTACACACATACCTTAGGCACTAGTGTATACATGTATTTACAACATACAATTAAGCTGATCCAAATGCTCATTATTTATTAAAGAACTAAGCTCTATTTAGTCTGAGAGAATTATGCCTGAGTGATTAATATCTTTGTATACTTCAATGCTAATTTTTCGTCTCAATCATGTAACCTTTTGATTTGATTCTCAAATATTCTTGACTGACCCACCGTTTGAGATATCTCAGACTTTTGTATCCAAGGGGGCAAGGTTGATTTGTGTGTTTTTGTTTAATACCTCTGCAATATAGTCAGGTATATATATATTGAGGAACTATATCAGTATCTCTCTCTTTCTTTTATTTTTCATCTGATGCTTTCATAGCCGTCACCCGATAAATCAGCAGGGAGATCAGAGGTACAGTTTTAAAAAAGAAAATTGACTGGAAGTTTTAAATATTAGTTTTAGAAATCCTAACTGGGTGATATATATATATTAACAAACCATGTAATGTTTGCAGATTTAGAATAGATACCCTGTTTCCAAAGTTATGCAGTGACTAATATTCTTTTCATGTATATTGTTCCCCCTTTCCTTTATATTTCATTATAATCAAAATCATATGTTGAATGACCCAGTACCCTTTTGTGTAGATGTGTATAGCAACCAAAATTGAATTACAAAATATATAGGCATACAATATCATTCTTATTTGTATGCCTTTTGGCTTATCAAAACCAACAGTTTGAAATGTCAATTGTTGACAGAAATTATTTTAAAGATCAAAATATTTTTGGTTTGTGTATGTGATTAACATCTCTTGAAGCACGGAAAAATACAAATTTTGTTTGTTTTTATTCTGGAAAAGAAAAGAGACATGTATACAAAATGTAATATCCAATGAAATGATATGCCGCAAAAAAAAAAATATTAAAAAGTGCACAGCTAAAGGTTTCTTGTTTTTACTTGAAAAATATAATTGCTATATTGATGCTGCTATGTAAACCTGTGGAAATTGGAATAGTACCTCTAATGCTAAGTTTACACTTTGTTTCCAGCGGCCACGGCAATCACGTTTCAGGCCACCATGGACAAAACGGGATGGACGTGAGACAACGCAGGGGTACGGAATGGCAAACGTGACAGGCCGTGGTTGCAGTGGATGCCGGCCAGATTTTTTAAACTGTCAAAAAAAATGCCACGGCAGTCACAGTGGGGATGGGAAACCTTGTAGGCCGTAGTAAAATGGGTTGAACGCAACAAATCGTGACAGTATGTAATAGGCCGTAACAAAACTTGGAGGCGGTCTGTAATAGGACTTTTACGGGCCCGGCGCGCTATGGTACGTTGCGTTCTACTACGGTCTGACACGACGCATGCCTTTGGGTGGCCTTTTTATACCTTGGGCACAAAAATGCTCCAAAGCTGCGCGGCATCCACGTTTTATGCGTAGAAAGCCCTGACAGAACGTGAGAAACGTGTTAGACCTTGATCAGAACGTGAGAAACGTGACGGACTGGGAGGGAACGTACTGGCATCCGTGATAGACCGTGGGCTGACACGTCGTGCGCCTTTGAGCCTACGGGACAACAGCCCCTTTACAGTTTTGTTACCCTGTAGGTCTTGCCAAGTTTTCTCAAGGATCCTGTGAGAAAACTTGGCAAGACCCAACAAAACTTGAATACAGAGGGAAAAAGTGTCAAAAGTCCCACGGCGACCTACATTTTGGGCAAACAGAGCTACCGTGGCAGCCGGGAACATAGTGTAAACGTATCATTAGTTAGGAAAACCTTTTATTTGCTTCAAATCAACAGATGTTAATGTAGTGATATAAAGGCTGTTTGAGATGGATGAAGGTTAAATGTAGATAATGCAATGTTGCAAAATTTATGTACATTAACGCTGAGACATGTAATACATCATGTCAATTTATTTCATCTTAATGAAGGATTTAACGCAAGCTGCCGTGACAGATTAAGGACACCTGCACAAGATTTAGCAATTTGTGTGGGTGTGTGTGGGTGTGTGTGGGTGTGGGTATGTGTGTTGTGTGCATACCAAACTAAAACATTAATTTCATATTTTCTTTAGATACTTTCACTCCTACTCCTAAACGTACAATTTTGAATGTGTCATTTTAGCAGACTTAACAAAACTAACATTGTACAGCTTAACAGTCAATCTGAGTTCAAATTGTTGTACACTGTGGTGCACTGTGAGTATGGATAGAATAATATTGCAAGAACTTCAGTGAGACCACAGATTGTCCTTAACACATATTATTTGACCATATAAAAAAAACATTGTCTTTAGACTGTTTTTCTACTCTATGAGACAGTGTGGTACACTCCAATCACAGCAATAATGACTCAGTAGGAACCACAGTCTGACCACAGAATAAAATTAAAACATTGTCATAAAATTGACAACTGTGTTCAAAGTGGGTGCACCACTATGTTACCAATACCACATGTTGCCCTTGAAACATGTGCTACTAATGACAATTAAAATCACTAAAAGGCCATATTGTTTATAAACTGTGTGACATATTGTTTCACACTGTTGTAACCAAGAGAATGAGAGGCTGACCAAAGATTGCCCTGAAATGCTTTTTGGTATTAACAGTTTGAAATCACTCTGCTTTTACTGTGTTTTCAATGTGTGATTTAGTATTACACACTGTGGAAACAAAAATGTTCTGGATGTATGCACTGTGGTTTTACCACGGAGTGAAATTACAGATTTTACATGCTTCATGGTTGTGAAAAACATGAAATCACTACATTAAAATTGTTTATCCACAGTGTGTAAGAGTAAAACACACCGTGGTAACTTTGATATTCAATGTGTTTGCTGCACAGTGTGATTCAGAATGGACTATGTTAAATTGTGATGATGTACAAAGACTCTTTTTATTCTGACGTGAGCTTACTTTGTAACAATGAAATAAAAATATCCTTAGTTTGTTGTTACCAATCCTGATGCTTCAAAACAAAGAATTAAAAATAGATCAATTGTTATTAAAGTGTTGTTTGTGTGAAGGCAATCAAGCACTTGTAAAGCAAATTTCTACAAAACAATTGGGTTGTTTGTACATTTGTTATCAAAACAGGATACTTTGCAGTATATTATCAAACAGCTTCTCACAACTACGTCAAAAGATTTTATTGAGTGCAATCCTTTATATTCAATGAAGGAAAAAAACACTTTTAATTGGACAAACACTGTGGGCTTCTTTGATAACAAGCTTAGTCCCCATTGTATTGAAGGTGAAGAAGTCTGGTATCGGAGACTAGTCTGACGTCACTCAGCCAATGAAGGACTCTTCTATAGCCTCTCATGGCTGAGCCGATGTACCCAGCAAAATGGATTTAAAAGCAAAAGGTTTTGACGTCATAAGAGGAAATGAAAAACATGCAACAATTTATAGATGGACACAAAGTGTACATAAAGATAGGGGCCGACTGTGGTACCGGTAATTAGAAAAAGAAGCATTGTTTAAAGGAAATCAAAGAAAGATATAATTGAATTGCTTTGTTGAGACGATGTCATTAGTTCTGAAGTAGTGTGGAAAATACTTACTTGACTAGCTGCATTGAAAATGGGTAGGCTGTTGTTTGTTGTGAGTTACCTATTGTAATCCAGATTAATTTCATCAGCTAGGTGTTAGGGACTGGTGTGTTTCTGAGCATTGCAAACAAAATGTGGGGATTCTCTATGAAGTGAAATGAATGTTGTAGCTCTTTCAGTTTTGAAGAATTTCAGGCCCTTCAACTGAGAATATTTTTACTCAATCCAAGGTTTTTATTATGAAAATGATTTTATTTTATTGGATTGCAATAACAACAAAGTTATGACAATTACAAATTTCCATTCTTGTTTGTGCAGATTTTCTGTGTATTAGCAGCCACCTATGTGCAGTCATTAACCAATGATATGCCTTAAACTTGGATAAGTCTGATGGAAGATTGTGAGAAATTAAATGATGGAGACAAATATTTTTTATTAAAGAAGGAGAAGAACAAATGTCCTGTAGCTTCTAGGGAATTTTTAAAAACAACAATTTATGGAAAGCACCTTAAAATTTTGCATTTAGGAGTCCTTTTAGAAAAGGAAAGAGGGGGGGGGGGGGTCATCCAAATTATAAGGCACTTTAACAGTTTAACCTTTATATATATATATATATATATATATATATATATATATATATATATATATATTCATCTTTTTGTGGTTTTAGTCTTCCAAATTATTTTACATTGTCCCTGTTTTTGGTCAGTGCTCATATATTCCTACATGTATATTGCCCAAATGATTTCTGAAAGTATCCTAGAAAACAAAGTGTATCTGAGGAATCTTCATGACTAAAATCAGGGATGGGGGTGTATATGTAAAGCATGAACTGGGATCAATGTTCATGATAAAAAGTGACCCTCTATGATGGACATTGTGTCTCTATAGTAAGATGTTCTTTATATTGTTGTGATAATTGACATTTTAATCGTATCTAAACTAGCCTCATCGTACGTCATTTATTAGTAAAGTATTTTGATTATAATCATTACCTTTGCCTTTATCATGACATCTATCATTCATAAATTTCTACATCGCAGTATATTATTATTGCATAATCATGAACTTTTTCCATATTGCAGTCTCATCTTCATCATTTTCATTCAACATTTTCATCCTCAATACCATGACCATTGTCTTCAGTTTGCTCTCGATACTGCAGTCATCATATTTTGTGTTATTTGACTCACATCTGTAATCGTCATATTTATTTTATCCAACTTATAACCGTAATAATTATGTGTTGAACGCTCAGAATTCTAAACAATCTGCCTCTTGCAACAACATGCCTTTAATTACCCTTCCGTGTTGCAAACATGCCCTCCCTCAGCATATATTGGCTAGCCTAACAGGATCTTCATTGATTCCGTGTATGCTGCACATGTATAATTAATTAACCCAATAGGAACTAATGCACAACAGGGTCTGTTTCTAGGAATGTAAAACGATTCCTCATCCGACTGCTGAAGGTGGAGAACGTTTCCCATCTCCAAGATGCATAATGGTGCGTGGTTATGTAACACATCCGTTGGCCACCATTTAGAGGTTTCTGATACATGTTGGTTTTTCGTTCAATGATGCTGGGGCATTCTGATGGGGTAATGGTTTTTGGAAAAAGGAGAAGAGAGAGGGAGAGAGAGAGAGAGTTTTCAAGAGGGATAAATAGAGAGAGGGAGAGAGAGAGATGGATGTAGGAATATGTTAAGAGAGAGAGAGCAAGCAAGAGATGAAGAAACAGAGATACTGAGCAAATAAAGAGTGACATCATATTCTCAAATAGTAAATTAGCTTCTTACATCATCTCCAAATACAGGAGCTATTTTCAGTATAACAATGGAATTAAT